GGACAGGAGAGCTGTCAGTCAATAAATTGAAAAAAAAAAAAGTAACTTGCGTTACTTATTTGAAAAAGTAACTCAGATATTCTCTTGTAAATTAAAAAGTAATGCGTTACTTTACTAGTTACTTGAAAAAAGTAATCTGATTACGTAACTCGCGTTACTTGTAATGCGTTACCCCCAACACTGACTACAACCAGGGTGTCGCTGAAAATGAGTGTGTGAGTTTGTTTACAGAACGCTGTTGTCACTGCTGCAAACTCCATATAAATAATTATTCAAAAAATATAATTTCCCTGCAGCCAGTGGGCCCCCTTTCCAGTGTAGGCCCCTGGGCTTCAGCCCCTTGAAGCCCGTGCATTAATGCGCCTCTGCCTATAATGATAGAACTGTCATTTTAAAGATCGCTCTACTTACCAAAAGCCATTTTAGTCGACCACTTTTTTGGCCAGTATCACAAAGCACAACAGGCGTCGGGCAGCAGAAGTAAAAAATCCCATGTTTTCTACACAGAGTGATGAGCATTGATTTTTAGTCAACATAGAACGATTAAACCTTTATAAACAGAACTACCGTGGGCTCTGACGTTGTTAAACGAAGGTAAACGCTTCTATAAAACGCAGAAATCAGTACAACACAACTCACATTCAGATCATGTAAACGAGTTCATACAGCATCACCACAATCACCAATTTATTCAAAAAAGCAACTCTAAACATGTCAAGTGTGATCTGTAGATAAACATACTGTGACTAAAGTTTCTTGAAGTGACCCAGAACAATATTTGATCCAAAAAAAATGTGAATATCGACTATAAAATAAAGTCAGACTTCAAAACAAGATCTTCTGATTAATTATATGAATAATGTGCTAATCCTTCATAGCATCTTTCAGTAAAAACATTACTGTATTAATGCATTAAAGATAAAAGACGCATTAATGTACATTAAAACAGTCAAGAGATTCTGAAATATTTTTCATATTCAATCTGATCTGTTAAGCATTAAGCCCTTAGTGTTTCTTTGTAATTTTATTTTAATCTATTTTTTTATTTATTTAAATAATAGTTAATACTTCCTGAACGCTCACAAAACGTAATAAATAAACAAATATATACACCCAATTTTAAATGCATTAACCTACTAGTTGCTGCTGTATTACTATTATTATGTAGAAGGCTATAATGATAATAGGCTATTGAACAGTTTTGTACTGGCCATTAGATGTCACCAAACCCACATTAATGACTGTGCTCAGCTGTAGTCAATATTCATAACTGCATATTTCTGTTGTGAATAAAGCAGGTGTTTACTCAAGCAACTTTATACAAGATATAGCCTAATAATCTCATACACAAATTCGGCCCTGGACAAATCCATTCAATCCGGGCCCACGAGTTTCCCTGTGAATGTTTTGCTGGGTTATAGAGCCTTAAATTGGAGAAAATAAATGAGTAAATAAAGCAGGACAGAAACAAATAATGATAGATATTACTGAATTCACTGCAAATGCAACAAATTTAATAATGCATTTTTTTCTGTCACATAGAAATGCACTCGACAAGCATTGATATTTGAGCTTGAACGCAGAAAATGTACTGCTATTAAATTCTGTCATCATTTCCTCACCCCCATGTCCTTCCAAACCTGTATGACTTTCTTCTGTGGAACACAAAGATTATATTTTGTAGAATGTTCCCAAACCATTTTGTTACCAAATCATTACCCTTGATTTCTACTGTATGGACAAAAAATAATTGAATTTCTCAAATTGTCTTCTTTTATGTTACACAGAAGGAAGACATTCATACAGGTTTGGAATGGCATGATAGTGAGTATATGATGACCATTTTCCTTTTTGGGTGAACTATCCCTTTAAGAACTTTAACATTTGTAGTTAACGCCAATTAGAACTAAACATTTAAAGAGAAAGGAGCTATTAAAGCTATTCTGGTAAATTATCCTTTGCCCCAATGAAATTTACTATAGTTCTTGCATAGAATCCAGAGTTTAACTGGCTAGTTTAGGAAGATGGTGGTCACAACAAATAAAACTATGGTCCTCATTACCATGGTCATATGGTTTTTAAAATAAATAATAAGGAATAATTGACTCCGGGCCGTTTAATTATTAGAAAAGTAATGCACAGCCGAGGTGGTGATGCGGCCACGACGCGAAGCGGAGTGCATTATTTTTCTAATAATTCAATGGCCCGGAGTCAATTATTCCGCTTATACCACGGTTGCCACACCTCAAGACATAGATCAGATGATATATATTTCAAGGCATTCGTCCGGTTTTTGTACTTAAAACGCTATTGTCAGTAGGATTAATTTCTTCCGCATCTCATCTAACGCCTCCGTTGCTAATTCCAAAACGTAATTTTAGACCTAGTAACGGAGGCTTGAGCCGTTGATAGCAGACTAATGCAGATATTAATTAAGTTATTAGACAGACCGAAAAAAAAACAAAATTGTTCGGCAGCAGCGTCTCTACTAACAGTGAAACTTTAATTTCATTTTCTTCACGAACAGCGCCGTTGTTACCTCGCTTGTGAGAAGTAGCCTATCATGTAGCAAATAATAATAATAAAAAAAAAATATAATAAAATCGCCAGAGTAGCGATAACAACGTTAGCACGTGTATGTTTCTGTACTGTAGGCTAAGCTATATATGCGTCTGAGGGAGAGAGAGCGGGAGAGATAAAGTGCTTTACCTACATAATAAAACGTAATTGTGGCAAAACATGGAAATGATCTGTCGTTTTTATCATATTGCTTACTATATTTATTTGTCTGGCCAGTGTTGTTGTGGGTTTTGGTTATTGTGCTGTTGTCAGAAATCAGAACAGAAATCATTTGGCGAAATGATATGGAGATGTAATGCGGTCCAGAGCTGCCTGGAACTACGTTCGCTGTGCGTTTCCCTGAAAATAATTGCACGCCTTAGAACGTTCGTCAGCCAATCAGATTCAAGCATTCAACGCCCCCCCCCCTAGTATAAGTAATAATAAACTATGTAATTTGTAATTTAAAAAAAGAAAAAAAAACTAGTAGAAACTACAAAAACAACGTCTATAAAAGTTCAATATTCCGTAATATTTAATATAAGTAATAACAGTAATATTTATAATAAATAAATTTCTGCCAAAAACACCATTGGCTATTTGTACGGTGTTAATAACTGCAAAATTACTATGGTGCTGAATTGACAAGCTTAATTATGTATTGGCGTTTTCCAATTTACCTCGTCATGCAGTTTACATCGTCGTGTCTGTTTTCAGCCAGCATCATTCACTACAGTACCTTTAATGTTCTCATATCACACGACTGTATACCACAACTCACAACACATCGAAGCGCAGCGCTGTGCGGGTGACTGATTGCGCTTTTTTTTTGCATTTTCGCATGCGCTGTGATTTAAAAACAGCGCCTAATATACGGTAACGACCGGCCCACCGGGAATGTCCCGGTGCTCCCAATGACCAGTATGCCTTTAGGCTAATTCAGCAAACTATAAACGATGGGAAGTGCTTTTCATCTGAAAATCAGAAGTTTACAATTTACAGCACAGTAAGATTACGGCATATTAGTTGTGTGATAAGATGGGAGGCAGTAAAAGTAAAACAATAACAATAATTCAACACTTCGTACTTCCTGACAGAATTGTCCTCATTTTCTAAACGATAATTACCCTGACACACCGGAACAAAAATACTGTAGGAATCATTATTCAGGATTTCACCAGCAATAATCCAATAATGAGTGCCATTTCGGAGGTTATTCATGCTTTGATTAACGGAATTACAACTTGGAAAAATAAGTAGGCCTATATGCTAATAATAAAAATACAAAGTTTGAATAAGATGACCTGTGATTGGGCAGGACTTATATTGTTTGTCATATGCTGCCACATACAGTTGGATTGTCTCTGTAATAAATGTAAGTTTATGTAAACTATAAGTTGATTTGGATAAAAAAAATGCATCTTCATACTTATAGTAGCCTATCGTTAATTTAACTTACAATAGCTATACTCACAATATCATACACATAGTCTTTGTCATTGTAATGGCGTTTATCAGATCTGACCATTAAAATGACTTTAGATAGATAGGTAGATAGATAGTCTTAGTATTTAGGAATAATGAGCATATTTAATACATAACGTAGCACTGGTGTGATGATGCTCTGGTTATTAGAGGAATGTGATGGGAGGGGCCAGCAGACTCCGTCCTGTCCATTGATAGATATATTACTATATAAGAGACGATCACACTCTCAAAGGGTCACATTTGGTCGAGTCTCATTGCTGGAGTCACAGGACTTTCACAATGCGGTGTCTGCTTTCAGCTTTTCTTCTGCCACTGATTCTGCGCTCATGCACCGGTGCAGGTGAGTCCAGCACATTCATGATCTACTCAGTGATGCTGCTTAATGCATCATATATGCGTTCAAATTCAATCTCATTTACATCTCTATAAATCTAGGTTTTTCAGTGATTTGAGGGTAACATCAATTGATCATATATCAATAAGGACATTTCGCACTGATCAGAGTAAACTTACTGAATGACCTCGGATCTATATCAAATGTATTCAGTAATAGCTAATGTGCATCATTTAAAGGTGAACAGACTGACTCTTGTGTAAAACTCCCGATTAGTATTAGCTACTAGAAATTTACATATATTTGCAAACAGTTAAACCTTTCTGCTGAGTCTTTTTTTTTATGCGCAAAACACTCTTATATAATGACATGTAATTTCAGTAAAAATTCAGTAAGTCTCAAGCTTTTCAAAAGTAGCTACACAAAGGAAAAATGCATGATGCTTTTTTAAACGTTTTTTCATCTTTATTTATTTTTACAGTTTTGACTATATTCACAGCTCACGAAAATTTTTACTCAGAACACAAACTAAAGATGATCCATTCATTAAAACGCAAGGCACATTTTTGTATTTATGTGTTATGTATCTTGTAAATCGCACATATAATATTAGCTTACCTAGGCAGACTGTCAGAGAGTTATTAATCTATAAATTTAGAAGAACCTTCACTGTCTTCTGACGCACGAACCTCGAACCCCTTAAAAAAGTCTGTCAGGGAGAAAAAAATCAATCCTGCGCATGCACTACTGCCTCATTTTCTGAAGGAAGGAGCATCTTTCTTTCTGCTCAAGGACACTCGTCCCGTTCCTGATCCTTATGTAGGACGAGCTCCTAAAATCCAGAAGTGTTACACGAGGACTTTCTATAGAAATGTTCCGTGCGTGATCTGTTCAACCGAATTTGTCCTTTGGCGCCCTTTGTACACTAAACCAAACGTCAAAGACCTTTCAAAACGCTAAGTTTTTGTGATATGACATGTAAATGAACACTAAAGTGATAAATAATTACAGTATTTGGTTTTCAGAAGCAAAGTTTTCGAGCGGCGCACTGTTGCTATGGTTACCTCCAAAAAAAAAAAAAGGAACGCGAATTCTGTTTCTGTTTCTATTTACCGCTAGATTAAAATAAGATAGCTGAATTTGTCATGTTTTGTTGTTATTAACAGGCATGAAAAACAATAAAGTGATAAACAATTACAGTATTTGGTTTTCAGGAGCAAAGTTTTCGAGCGGCGCACTGTTGCTATGGTTACCTCCAAAAAAAGAGGAACGCGATTTGTTTCTATTTGCCGCTAGATGAAAATAAGCGAGTCGAATTTGTCATGTCTTGTTGTTATTTATAGGCATGAAAAACAATAAAGTGATAAACAATTACAGTATTTGGTTTTCAGAAGCAAAGGCGCACTGTTGCTATGGTTACCTCCAAAAAAAGAGGAACGCGATTTGTTTCTATTTGCCGCTAGATGAAAATAAGCGAGTCGAATTTGTCATGTCTTGTTGTTATTTATAGGCATGAAAAACAATAAAGTGATAAACAATTACAGTATTTGGTTTTCAGAAGCAAAGGCGCACTGTTGCTATGGTTACCTCCAAAAAAAAAAGAGGAACGCGATTTCTGTTTCTATTTGCCGCTAGATGAAAATAAGCGAGTCGAATTTGTCATGTTTTGTTGTTATTTATAGGCATGAAAAACAATAAAGTGATAAACAATTACAGTATTTGGTTTTCAGAAGCAAAGGCGCACTGTTGCTATGGTTACCTCCAAAAAAAAAAGAGGAACGCGATTTCTGTTTCTATTTGCCGCTAGATGAAAATAAGCGAGTCGAATTTGTCATGTTTTGTTGTTATTTATAGGCATGAAAAACAATAAAGGGATAAACAATTACAGTATTTGGTTTT